TCCATCTAATGAGAGATTTCAAAATCTAGTCAAATCAGAAAAAGAGCCAATGAAGGTTGAATGCAGCAGAATATATTTTGGGAGCTAAGAAAAAGTACAATAAAAATTGTGCAAATGCCACTAACAAGGTAACATTTACAACTGTGTCTTAATATTGTTTGATATTTACTGTCCATGTCCACACTTATAAATAAGGACTATCATCTAGCATTTGAGCAGGTTCTCAGACTTTATTGTCACAGCAATTTCTCTTGAAAATTTACACATACAGATCCCTTGTGACAAATAGTGATGATGCTACTCACTCTCATTCACGCATTTGTGTTAAAGAATCAGGCCAGCAGATTTCTCAGTCTCACCCACACATAAAGATACCCACAGGCAAAAGAACTACAAGTATTTCACAGGTTAGAATCAAAAGAGAAAAGTGACCTTGGGAAAAGAGAAAGATGGTCTGAAAAATGAGAATGCTACTCAATGGACAACTGAAGATGCTTCACGGACCCAAGAAGAGCCCACTACACACAAAAGGGGAAAAACCATCTACATTTTACTGCAAAGGATCTGGGCATCACTGTGACACATAAGTTGACACGATTCAGTGGTGACAATCTACTGCAAAAAAGGCAAGCCCCATAGTTGTATATACAGACAGAAGTACAACAGTAATCCTCTGCCCTCCTCCTGTAAAACCTGGATAGGAGCCCTGCTGCTTGCTCTGGGCACTGTCCTCCAGGAAAGCTGTAACACCCCCCAGCCTGGAGGAGAACAATGAAGTCACTCAATGCTTCAGAAAACACCAGTATTAAAACCAAAGGAGGCCATAATGTTGCAGTGGTCATTTATGTATTTGACCAAAGGGTAGGAAACATTTTATTATAGTGATTGTAGTAGCCTGGGCAAAAATAAAGGGATAAATTGAAGGAAAGAAGATTTAGTTTAGATATTAGGAAAAAACCTTCATAGTGGCAGAGATAATGATTGTCTGGAGTGACTCTACAGCCCTCAAGCCGATGTCGGTACAAACAAAACCCATTTATTTGTACACATGTCACTTGAGGACTCCACAGTGCAGAACAGCATGAGGAGGGGGAGCCTGGCCTCAGAGAGATTGTCCTCTCTTCCCCTCTGCCTCTTTGATATTGGAACTTCAGCCCATTTTCAACTCACAGGAGACAAAAGCATGACTCTGTTCAGCACAGTCAGATCAAAAGGCAGATTGCTATGATTCACAGCCACTTAGTAACTTGCTTAAACAAATTGCAGACACAGAATATGTTCAAATAAATTGTTGCTAACTTCCCTTGAACATTTTGGGATTAAAACCTTATTTTATATAGGTCCCTATAGATATTAACTTTCTTTTAGCAGAATTCCTGTGTTTTATGCACCTAAGTTAATAAACCCAGTGTTAGTTTCTATGCACCTCTCTAGCTAGAAGGGACATTAAAAATGCAATTTTAAAATCTAAATTCATACACCTGTTAATCACTTGGCGTAAAGAGAAATAATTGAAAAGCCACAAATAAATCACTGGTCATTCCCAACTCCTCATTCCAGTTACTTAAAGAAAACAACCTTCTCTCACTTTAGTTGTCAGCTTTGGTTTTATTGTGTTTTTTTAAATTGTTTGTTGTTGGGTTTTGTTGTTGTTGTTGTTTTGGGGTTTTTTTGTTTGTTTGTTTTAATAAATAAACACCCTAAATGCATTGCTATAGGTCTAATTTTCTGGAAGTGGTTTTTGTCCTCCTATTTGTTATTTCTTGGGGGACTATTTGGCATTTATATCTCATGATTTCAAACAATATTTTAAGGGTGCAGTTTGAAAAAAGCTATTCTAGATATTTGGTATTAATCACTTTCTAGCTGCAAAAAAGTTGTTGTCGGGTTTTAAAGGGCCAGTCACTGTTGACCTTGTCTGATTTTTTGGGTTTTGGTTCCAACTCTGCACAGCCATGGCCAACAGGCTGGCAGCCCACCAGCTGCATTCAGCCTCTCTTGCTCTTAATTACCCAGTTCCCCAGTTCTCCTCCCTTGTTGGTTCTGTTCTGGTCACCACAATTAATTCCCATTTCTTATTCCTGTATTCACCTTCAGCTCATTAATTTTTGGCCAGTTTCCACTGTTCTTTCTGCTCAGCATTTTGCAATTTCTCTCATCACTGTTTAAGGCCTTTTTCCACCCTCTTCAGTTTTGTAGGGTTGAAGGACAGTTTTTAATTGCACCTTATAGAAGAATGGGTGAATATTTTGCTTTTGTCAAGTAGGTGCCAGGGAAGCTCCCATCTCTCCCCCTGGTCATTTTCCTTCCCAGGCTGGTCTGGAAGCACAAAACCATCTCCAGGGTGCAGAAATGCCAGCACACACTTCTTAGCCCTGTAGTTTTAAGAGCTGTTTTATGTATAAGTATGCATGAGGAAAGAGATTGATGAACCCCAAATCTCAGATGGAAGTTCCCAGCTCCAAGTGGTTATTTTAATGAATATTACAATTAATAGCACCCAATGGAGGGTGTCTTTTAGCTTCCTGGGCAGAATCAGAAGGCACTGTTGGATGGCTCTTCCCCAGGACACGAGAAATGTGGTCCCTTCAGACCGGGGTTCTCTTTTGGTCCTTTTTACCTCAGCAGACTTGTGGCCTCACTGAAATTCCTAACACATGTATCATTGTGTAACCAAAGTCATACTTCAGCTGTTTGGTGGTTGTACAAACATGTCTTAATCTGAGTTAATCTCAATTCTTGGAAGTGGATCTTTATATAAATTTGGAAACAAACACTTAGCTCTTCGCTGTGAGGAAGTAAAAGTAAGTTTCTGCCTACTTTTGGAGTTTCCAGTTCCAGTACTGTATCACTGGCAGATGATAGTGATCAGGTGAAGTATCAAAAAGACTGCACACAAACCCTTTAAAAATCAACTGGTGGTAGGATAGATTTTTTGGGGGCCAAATTCACTCGTGTAACAGTGGAGTTGCATCACTTGAAACTAAGCTCAAATGAAACCTTAATACAGCTCTCTGACTACTTTGAAATCCTTATTAGTAATGCATATTTTTACTTTACAGACATTGTGTTAAATCCTGTGTAAATACAGGGAAAGACAGCCAGTCAATAGAGACTTTATTGAAAGGAAAGAGCTAGAATAAGTAAAGAGTAAGTTGGGGAAAAAAAAAAAAAGTATTTCCTAGGGCAAAGTGGGCAAAGTTACATGAAATACCTAATGCATGAATTTGAAACATGAGCTATTTGAAGGTAGTGATTCTTTAAAGCAGACACTGGTATCTAATTAGTTAACTCCTAAGGCGAAGCAGGCAATATACCAGCTGATGCAATTGGTGGCAGCAGGAGTTTGGAAATAAATATCTCTATCTGGCACTGAGAAGTGATACAGAGCTCAAATTTCTGTGGATTGCCTGGCCCCAAGTTTATGCTTCAGAGCTCACATTTCCGTGGTAAAGGAAAATTAAATCTCAGAGTTTAAGATCTGGGGTTCAATGTGGCTATTTATTAAAATACATCTGGCCTCCCTAGATTGTGAATATTTTGAGTTGACCTAGATGGAGCTCTTGATAAAATCAAGCTCTCGTGGGGCATTTCCAGTGTTTTCTGATAAAAGCTTTGTAGAACTGTGCTAACAAAACCTAAGACACTTTAAAAGCAACCTAGCTAGAAACCAGAAACACAGTGGCATGTGAAAACAAAGAACAACCAAAAATCCCAAACCTCCGGAAACCCCAATTGAGCAAAACCTGGGAGATTTATAATGCATTTTATATGGGGTTTATTCAAGCTCCCTCTTTAGAGATGCTGCAGTCAGGGCTATGGTGGCACCAGGCTACTGACAGAGCCAGTGGAGAAGTGAGCGCTCCCTGCAGAAGGAAGCCCAGCTTCCTTCTGCCCACACTGCTCTGTGCAGGAGCCCTGTCCCAAGCGGCAACAACTCAGGTAGGTATCAGATGTTAAATGAGATGACTCTAGCATTAATGCATGCAAATTTATTTTCTGATTGTGTCTGTGACTGTCCCACTTTGTGTGTGTGTGTGAGGATGTGCATTTTTAAGTTTGGCAGTCCATTTGAAACAAGATTCCTGTTTCTCAATATCAAACCAAAGTCAGTATGACAGATGGTACTAGAGTTGGCTGTCCTGAGTCTATCCGGTGCATTGCTAAAAAGGCATGTTTGTCCTATGCACCCTACGATGCCCTGGAGGTATCAGCATTTTGTCGTTTGACTTAGTTCCCATCATCACTTTTCTATCCAGAGATTCTGCTTACTATCCTTACATCACCTCTATCAGTCAAAAGCGCTATTGCTTAGGCCAAGCAGAGATTTCTGATTCCAGCTTAGTTTCGTTTCAGAAGCTCCATATCTGCTGTCTCATTGTCAATGTCTACATGCTCTCATAAATCTGTCAGTAGGTCTCTGTGTGAGTAACCTTAGTGGTAGACATACAACAGCACACATGAATAGGGCCTTTGAATTAAAATGACAGCCGCCTGCATTCCTACCCAAGGTTTGCTCTACAGACAGTATCTTAGCACTCCCAAACCACTACCTTTTCAGCTTAGAATGTTGCATTGTATCACAAGTGACAACAAGGAGAAAGAAACATTGTCCTTCCTATTTAGCAAGTATACACTTGTGTTCTCAGACATCTTCGTCCATGTCCATTCCTAAGGAAATGCAGTTCAGTCAATCTGGCCGTGGGTAGCGACTGAATTGATGTGCAGGCTGCCCTATTACAGAATAGGCCTAGCTTAAAGAAAGGTTTGCTTATGTGATGATGAGCAAGATGGAAAGGTCTCTGCTGCTAGCTTGATAAAAAGAAAATAAAAATTAAATGATAATCAATAAAGTGTGTTTGATTAGGTGTCACTGAGAGAAAGAAAAGGCCATTTCATGTCACTTTTTAGAAAGCACAAGGTGTGTAACTTTTGGGGATGATTTTGCTCTTGGCTAATCTTCAGATTCAATATTAAAATCTCAAACTTCCCAAAGGAAAGAGATTCTGCATCTTTTAATGAAAGATAAAACAACAATATAAACATACACAAATTTACAGAGAAAGGATCAACTTTAATACATCTGGAGTAAAAGGTGTTCTTTTTTAAATATGGTATAAAAATAAATGCAAGAAACATTAACAGAGAATATACAGACAACAGACAAAGACACAGGCTTTCTTTCTCAATGTGAATACATCAGTGAAATGAAACCTTCTGTGCTAATTTATTGTGCAATAAATGTGATGCCATATGTATATTTATTAATATATGCATTTTTTACATTTCTTCCAGTTTTTGATTGACGTATTTTTTTAATAAACTGTGCCTAGCAGAAGCTTTTTTTTCACTGTACTTGAGCTTGCAGAAAATAAAAAGACACAGATCCAGCTTGATATGAAGGAGGAAGTGAGCAGACAGTTTTCGAAATGGAGGCATCGAAAGGCTAGAGAGTCCCTCGGAGTCTGTAATGCCTTAGTATACACAAAAGAAAACAAGTCAGGTCCTTGCTCATGCAACATCTTGTTCTACTGTCCTCTGAGTCAGGCAATCAGTGAGCTACAAAGTATGTATAATGATTTGAGTCTGCTTCCATGCTACAAGGTGATCCTTTTAGTAGGACTGCACTAGACTGGTTAACCTCTTTGATGTGAGCGATTTCCCCTGAGGAAAAGATAAAAACAAAAAACAAAAACAGAAAACAGAGGCATGATCACTGCAAACCTGTTCATCAGCAACCACTTAGTGTTGCCACATCACTGTCAAATAACTAGGGGCACCAACTGGAGTCTGTCAAATCTTAAACCACAGGAAGCCCTTACGCTTAGACACCTGCACTGCCAGCCAGCCAAATTGTTTCACAGAATAAGCCAGCAAATTTAAAGGCCATTTTAGAATGAGATTGCTTTTGGCTGATGAGAAACTAATGTTGAAGTTTTTGCTGTCATTCATACCCAGAACTTGAATAAGGCTACTACAAGCAAGAGTGCCTTGTGCTACAAAGATGAATGTGCAAACTACGGTAGCTCTGTCACAGAAGACAAAGAGATACTTTAAAGTTAAGGTGTAAAGTAAGAGGCAGATTGCTATAGGCAGGAGAGCAGCTTTTTCAGGAATGCAGCTATTGGTTTGCTGAGACTGTATTTACTATTTTTAAGGAACACTGGTCAGGTGTATTTCATGTGACTGCTTAACACTGCCTTGAAGGTGTTTGGATTTCCACATTGTTATTTTCCTCATTGTTCCTCCTGTTACAAGGATGCAGTTTCAGTTTTTTAACAAGTTCTTTTAATAAGATATGACTGTCCCAAAAGAGTTAGGTCTACGGCGTGAAGAGGATGGTGTAGGGTATGTCACTATGGTATATTTCAGGCAGATTTGAGCTGTATCTGAGCCAGACAAAAGCCATGAAACCACATTACAGGAATTATCTCCCCTGAGGCCACATAAAAGGAGTTAGCTCTCCCAGGGCCATCCTACTGCGACTCTGATCCAAAGAGGCAGTGCTGGCACAGCAAGCTGACATCACTCCTCAAAATACCACAGGCATACCTTGATAATGTAACATAAATAGATCATAAAACATTAAATAGAAAGTGGCTCTAACTCTCCAGTAGATATTTAATACTTACATTTATTGTATTGTTTATTTTAAGTACACAACTCAGAAAAATAAAAACTTTCAAGGAGACTACAGTAAGAAATACTGTAACCACGGAGAGATGCTACATTTTCTGCAGTAAATAGTAAATGAACTTATTCTGCCATATCAATGAGTTGTCAAGTCATCTGCTGTATTTTAACTCAGTGGAATTACACAATTCAATATCTGTTGTCATGATCAATTAAATTTATGCTCACATGGATCTGTAAGTTGGTTTTGAGCATTTGCTCAAATGCAATGTATCAGAGTGGTTCTTCACAAAAGGAAGAATAACTATTTTATTCTTGGTGCTCTGAAATACAAGTTGAACAAATTATGATGAATATTTTCCCTACAATATAATTTTGAAAGGAACTCATGATCTGCAGCTAGACTGCTCATCCATCAGGTTCACCATATCACCTGAGAGTATTAATACTCTCTTCTTTAAAAGACGGAAATGTCCTTCCTGGCACGCGCTCATCTCTGCATCTAGCTTTAACTGTCACTTTCTACCTACATTAAATTCACAGCTTCTTGACACTTGTTAAACCTTAAATTATGTTTTCCTCTAATGCAAGAGGCAAGCTGTTACAGTAAGACATCTTTTCTTTTTAAATAGTCAAAAAATTCTCAACAGCTGTGTGGCACTGGAATACAATTTAAAACAGCATGTCCAAAATGAAGTGTTTTGTTAGATGATTCATGATTGTCAGCCCTGGACATAACCTCAAAAAAAAATGAGCATATGCTTATCTTTGCCTTTCATTAAGTTATTTGTGCTTAATTTTACAGGTCTACAGGCCTGGCTACTTTCTGTAAATATGTATAAGTTGTCCTTAGTACTGAACTACATAAACCAGTTAATTTAAACAATTAAACCAGGAATTCTCTATTAGTTATTAAAACAATTTGCTTATTGCCACATTGGAAAGCTGTGAAAGCTCTCGTGGGATAAAAATCTGTGAAATATTTTTTTTTATTCTTATCTGCAACAATTACTTATTTAGGACTTGTAAATTCCCTGGAATTTTTAGATTAACCATAACCAAATTCTAGCATCTCAGGAATGAATTGTGATATCACATAAACTAGGCCTTTTGACCTAAAAACTAGTTGTTAGTTAGTTGATCTGACTTGTATAATCTTATTCTATGTATTATTTGAATTTTCCCCTATAGGCCCAGTGAGCTCTCATGACAAATTTTTTTCTGTATTCTCTACCACTTGCTCCCTGGATATTGCTGGTCTTTGGATACTTTTTCCTTCTAGGCTCTACAGTGATCAGGATTTCTCTGGATGGTCCTCTCCTCCACATCCCCTCCCTGCCTCAGAGAATATTACACTTCTTACAGATAGGAATTCTCCATCTGAACAACAACATATGCTCTTTTTCCAGGTATTAGTAGTTCTAATTTATCTTATAGTTGGAAAAGTGACAGCTTAGAAGATACACCCTCCTTAAGAGATCTTCTTCCATGTTTATTCTGAATCATACTTAGTTCTCTGACTGGGAAAATAATACACAGAAGCCATAGCAGCCCCAAATACAGAATTATCCTACCTTTTTTATTCAGATCTGCAGGGATTTGTTATTTTCCAGTTTACAGAATATTTCTTTCAGTGTCTGTTCCAGAGTATACTTCTACTTTAGCCCTGTATAGTAGGGTTTTGTAATCATCACTTCTAGGAGATTTCCAGATTTACTCAATTTATAGACAGATATAAGGATCATCCCTTGTGGGTCATAATTTAAGAGCTGAGCCTACCTATTTCTTTCAGATACAATACTAATAGCATTCCCATAAACTGAATTTTGATTTGGGAAACTACATTTAATGGGCCAGTTTTGAGATGTGTAGCATATGAGTCATCACACATAAGAAAATGTTTCCTCTGCCAATAAGATTAAAGAACAGTTGGGAAAAAAGAGTTGGAAGAAGTAGTTGACAGTTGTCTGAAGAATGATCCTTAATATTTTCAATGTATTCTTGCCATCAACATTTAGGAGCATGTGGCCAAATTCTAAACAGGATTAGGATTTTTGGCTGTATTGGTGCACTTTGGACACATGAATTCAAACTGTTTAACAATGTTACTAATAATATACAAGCCAAAATGAAACCCCACGTTACATAACCTGAGAAGGGAGCCAGAGTATGAGGAAGCAGCACAGCAGTTAGTGAACATCTAATATGAGATCCACTGACCCCAGTGTTCAGTCCCTACATTAGTGTATTAACTGCTTAACATAGTGTTGTCCTTCCAACTGTAATTTTAGAGAATTTAGGGGGAAAATTTCAAAGCAATGGGCAGATGTATGAGCTGCTAAAAATACAAATACACTGACTGACCTATTTAAGCAGCATGACACTAACACCTCAAATAATCCGGCAAACAAGTCAGTAACCACCTCAGTATGTATGGGGCTTACAAGAAATCAATAGCAAATGTATATAGGGGCTGGAGCTGAAATGTATGGTAGAGGAAGATCAGGTCTTTTCCTTTTAGAAGATGAACTATCTTCCTTTCTGCTAAGCAACCTCAGTGGCACCTTTTTCATGTTTCCTTATTGCCAGCTCAGATGCTGCTCCCCAGGACTGATACTGGTAGAACTAGAAATGAGAACTCCATGCATCTGATTGGGAAACAGGGAAACAGTGTGAACCCCGCGGTGAGCAAAATGAGATGCAGAGCAAGAATTGACCCTCCTTGCTCTCACTGTTCCCCATCTGCTCATGTGCGACACACCTGCAGCACTCCAGCAGCTCAGCCAGCACCGGCAGGGAAAGCTCCCAAGTGACATCAGAGGGCACCGCACACAGAGTCGGTATATAAACAGCCCCTGACAGAAGCACATCTGGAGAGGCACAGGAGCAGAAACAGTAAGTCCCTTTCCAAGATTAGGCAGCCCTTTCTCCTCTAGCATGGGGGACTTGCTTTAGCATCACTCAGGGGGTCAGAATTCTGCTCCAATTTCCACCGCAGCACAGGACGCTGCTCTCAGGCACACATGCAGGTATATTTCTCTTTCAGACATGTAAGAAAGGGGAGAGGGTTAGCATTTACTGAATTTGGGGTACAAGTTGTCAGCGCAGCTGCAGCACTAAGTGGTTGCATTCCTTCTGCCTATCACAGGGATTTGCAGTCCTCTGTTCATTTCTTATTAGGACCGTAGAGTTTCTTGGAGCAGTCCATCTACAGGAGGCAGTGGCTGAGCAACTGTGTTCCTATTTTGGCTCATTCCAAACTGAGTGACACTCGATTTCTTTCTCCTTTCTCACCAATCCTTACATTTACTGATGAGCTGCTCTCATTTGTGTTTAACCTACAAACTCTAGCCAGATGGGGTGGTTTGAACTTAAATAACCATCTGAAGTGTGGGGTAACACATAAGATTTTCCAAGGCACCAATGCACTAGACAAATATTTTTAGTGTGTTTGTCCTAGACCTGACCTCAGATTTCTATACCACTCTGCAGTTCTCATTCTTGAAAACAGCTTAAGGCTCGTGTAGTTATCAACTGAGAAATGGCAGACACTGGCCTAACACCCGAACGGTACGCGCTGGCTGCTCACTTAGACGAACCTGGCTGTGCAAGTGCTACTTCTCAGCTCTTCTCTTCCAGCACAGAGCACAGCAGCTTAGCTCCAGGCACTGCAGAACAGGACAAGGAGGCCAGTGTTCACTGGTGTGTCCTATGGATGCTTTTTTTTAGTTTCCTCATTAGCCTGGACATCAATCCTAAAAAAATTCTAAGACTAGATTTTTGGACTAAATTTTTAGTCCAAAATAAAAATCTCAATTATTTCATTAAATTTTTTTTTAGTCAAATATCAATAACTCATCACTTTACTGAAAGGTAAGAAACCTTATTTTCTACAAATACTTATTTTTATTATTGTTCTGTATTTGTCAAATAAGAAGGTCTGTGATTTTTTTCTGACTAGTTATTTTTTGGTTTAAATTTTAGGAATAGCCTGTATGTAAATTCAAAAGTCCAATTAGGATTTCTTCCTCGACTGTACATTGAACATGACATTCCACAGCTGATACTGCATTGAAGTTCATTCACAATGTTATGCTTGAGAAAAATATATCCCTTGGCAAGATTTCAGGGCTAGATAGACTTCTGATGTGGCACAGTAGGCCTTGTGTACATAAGTTCTACTTGTTCATACAGAAAAAATTATTGGTTAACAGATGAAATTAATATATTATCTGCCTCGTTTCTCAATAAAGGGACAGATCTTAACATATTTGCTATGTCATGTTACATGACATTGGACTGAGTCTGTGAAAATATGCTGTGTTCAATGACCTTCACATTTCACATCTCATGCACAAAATGGTCTAATTTTGTTGGTTTGGAGGGGGAAAATATCAAAGGACATTTATCAGTAGGTTCTTTCAGCTAAGTGGGAGAAGACAGCTGGACATGGTACAGATAATGTAAGATATAATGGTTTCAAACTCAGAGTTATTAAATGGGGTCTTGTTTATGAGGTTATGAGTGAAGATAATTACCAGCTGATGGCTCTCTCGTTTAATACATGAACTCAATTTGGTCTGGCTGTATTTCCATAAAACATCACAAACTTGCAACAAGCACGTTTTTTTGCCTTCCCTATAACTGGGCAGCAATAGATAAAACTCTAACACTGACAGGGGCATCTCAAGCCTTCACACCACGTAATGATGGAGTGTGTCCCCCGAGGCAGCTCTGAGGAGGAAAACTGCACCGTCTTACCCTGTGAACTTGGTTCCTGGTGGGACAAGAAAATTTTCATGGGGTGAAATGAAATTAGCCCACGCCCCTTGCACTGAGATGTCTTTGTTTCAGGCTTTCAGGCTTCCAGACTGGTGATCACAGCTAAGCACCAGGATAGTGCTTGCAAAAGCGTTCTGCTCAGACTACCCATCTGCCACTGTCACAAATCCTGAATTCCTGAAAGGAACTCTTCTCTCATCAACATTATCAGTGAATATTCAGCTGTTTTCTTCTCTTCAGATGTTAGTACTTGAGGTAGAGGATGTTCCTGATTTTTTTAATTTTTTAATATGGATTTTTTTCCCCATGTGAATTCTTCAAAAGAATTTCAGTTCTTAAATTCAGTTTTTAAAAATAGCTGATTTCCCTCTCTCTACTACTGTAGCAAGCAATGACATTCTCCTGCTCCCTGACTTACGCATTTAGCTTCCCTATTCACTTCCTTGGGGAGCTGCAGGTGACTAGAACTTAATTATTCCCAAAGAAAAACCTGAGGGGCTGAGCTGGCAGGTGAGGAGCACAGAGCACACTGTCACTGCTCCCCATGCCTCTCAGAGGCATGACACTTGTGGTTGCCTCCAAGATAACGCGGTGTTACTCCAAGACAATGGACTTATCCAATGGCATCATTCCAGTAGTGCTGAAGTGTATGTGCTCTGTATTTTCATGCAACACCCATTAGTGTGAATAAGTGAGACAAACCAAGAATATCTGTGCTTACTACTCGGAGGTACACTATAAAGTGTTTGGTAATAAATATTACATATAGCAAATGACAGTTTGCTATTACCTTATCTATATTGTACGTGAATGCAGACCTGTTTCCAACACTATTCATGTTGTGTGTTGCAGACCGCCAAAGGCATTAGCAATTTTGCACTATGAAATCTACAAAGCAAGCTAAATAGCCATTGTTTTTAAGCTGAGCATTTAGGGCTTTCATAAAGTGCACCAACGTATTGTAGAGTTTTCTTTCCAGAAAACTTTCAATGTCAAAGAAATGCAGAGCTGAGCCGAGGGAATTTTTTTTGTGTATATAGCTCCACTTCTATTTTTTCCCCATCAGACTAGAATTATATTATTATATCATTATCATTATATTAGGTTATTTTAACTTAATTCAAGGAATAGTACAGATTAACAGTACAGTTTAACAAATGCTTTCTGTAGCAAGTATAACCCACTTTCAATTATTATTGATCAGGAGCCTCTTATAGTCTCCATCTTAACAAATCAGGTTATGAATTACAAGGTCATCTTCTTAGGTTCAGTCCCTAGACACAACCAAGGTTACTTTTTTTTTTTTTTAAACACTTCAAATGGAAAAGACTGAAGTCCAATTTAGTTCAATACAAACCCACTTTGACACAAGTGAGAAAAAAAAACAGTGAAAATTAGTCTAAATTTTCTAAATCATCAGAGGAGAAGAGAAACTGTAATTTTCATCCTACTAAATCATTCAGAGATGACAGCATTTATCCAGGTTGTAGAAGACCTGTTTCACACCTATTTTCTGTATTAATCAGAAGAACAAATCTATACCACAGTCCCTCACTTCACAGTTGAACAAGTTAATCAGTACACTGTAGGATATTCCAAGAAACATTTCCCTCATCCCTGCTGGTTGGAACCGGGGTAGATAATTACATATTAGAAACTCATAACTGAGAACAAGAACAGAAGAACAAGGATGCCTGGTGGCAAGGGGTCCTGGAGCAGTGGGTGATGTGAATTCAGTCAGCTTGGAGAAAAGGTTTGCACTTGAGCATCCTGACATTCTGGATTAATTTGCAAGGCTCAGAGCTGCCGATCTAATAGAGAATATAGATCTAGCAGTGACATGTGTTATTTTTATACCTGACCCGACTTGACAGACTCCACCCGGATTCACAGGTAGTAGTTTGAGGAAAAGCAAAACCACAGTTTTTATTTTTTATAGCTTGTTCTGTGAAAAAAGAATTGCCCTCTTCTACTGAAGTACTAATGCTTCACATCCAGAAATCCTCATTCCCTCTAGCTCACAGCTGGTTTATTTGGCCTGTCTTGCATCTCTGGCATCCTGCTATTCTGGTACTTCTGCCCTGAGATTAGCACGATGAAAATCAGGCACGCCTGCAGGGCATAATGCTCCAGTGTTTGTGCACAGAACTGCTGGTTTATCTGTAACGCTGTTCTGAGAGGGATAATCGGAGACTCATTTTAGTGCCTCCCAGTCTGTCTTCACTTTTTCCCTTTTTGTCCTGTATTCTACTCACATCTGTCCACAGCTTGCTACTTCTCTCCTCATAGCCACCTGTTTACATACTCTTTACCAATTCCTGATCTGTGAGCTGTTTAAACTCCCATGAACAAACCTAGTTATTGCAGCTTGCCAGGCAGTGGCACTAGGAAAAAGCCTGGCTCTTGGAGGACCCAGATGCACTATCTGCTTTCTACACTCTCTTTTATTAACATTGTCTCTTTTATTAATATGGAACTTCCTATGGAATTATCATGTAATTATCATGTCTAATGTTATCATGTACAATGTTGTTTTATAGATCAACCTGCTTAGACAACACACAAATCACACTGCAACATGCTATGGCAACACCACCATGCAAAATATAGGGGTTTTTGTTTCAAACATTGGGATAGTTTCCTTTGTGGCTGTTTATTTACTTTTTAGTGTCCTTTACTGACTTTGTTCCATTGAATCCAAATTTCTTCCTGATTACAGTGGATTCAAAGCATATTACAGGAAGCCTTTACCTATAAGAAAGTAGTTAAAGAATTACAGTTTTGTTTTAACATGTGAGATATTCCCACAGCCTTACAAAACTTTGTTCTTTCACTGCATTTGTTTCTTTTTTTTTTGATTAGAAAGTATACACATAAACATATATTTTTAAATACTTCGGAAAATACTCATGAGCCTCATTATACAGGAGGCAGTTTCTGAGAACTGCTTCTCCTTCCCTAGAAACTAAAAAACAAAAACCATGATCTTTGCTGAAAGCTCTCATATTTTTCATTTCAACGCACACAGCTCCACTAACCAGGTCACAGAAAAAGCCACAGACGCACACACACACAGCAGCGTCACCTGCACAATTCAACAGACAATGCAGACAAACTTGAGTATAATCCAAGATCTTTCTACCTCTTTTCATAACAGGTTAGTGCTCGCCCTCAGTGTTGGTGTACAGTTTTTATGGCATGGGAAAATAGGGATGTTTCTGCCCTACAAAAATAAATGCGTTGAATGCTTTAGTTTGAACTTTCACAACGTTAAAAAAAAAAAAATAAAATCCAAAGAAACTGGATAAGTGAAAAGAATCCCACATATGAGGAAATCAGTGGATCTTTTGGCAGGTGGCACGAGAATGCCCACAGCAAATTTACCAGCCTTCATTTCTTTACCTTCATGAAATAGCTTTTGAAAATTATATGTTAAAAAAAAAAATCAGTTCTTGTAGTCCATTATCAAAATGAAATCCCAATTAAACCCTTGCGCATCATCAGCATGAATTCTTTGGTCCTGAAGAAGCTGTGCTAGACATTAAGGAAGATGGGGAAATTGTTATTGTTTATTTTTCCCTGTGCCCAATTGAAAAAAAAAACCAACCAACATAGGACAAACACTTTTTTAGTAAAATAAAAAGGAGACAAGTTGGAACTCCAATGTATTCAAACTGTGTTAGACTGAGTATTTTGGGAGGCACCAGAAAAAGGAACAACATCAAACAAGTTTTCACAGATTCTTTACTACAATTAAAAAAAAAAAAGTGACGAATTTCATGCTTCCTAATGCAAAAAGAATGACTCCCAAAGGTCCATTCCTCCATGTGTGACTATTGAGGTCAGTGGGAAGGGGACTGGGGAGGAGGAGTTGTAATGAAAGTACATTTTAAAGCTGTCATTGCTAGGAAAATTCATAAATTGTGATGAACACACTTTTAACTGTCAGGTTAGAGAAGCGAAAAGGGAAAGTAGGGATCAATGAGGGGAAGGGGGAAAGGATGTCCCATCAGATTTACTAGTCTTCCGAGGCAACAAACTTACCACATTGCGTGTGAATTTCTCAAAAGATGTTCGACGATCCAGAGTGTTTTCCAACTTAAATTTAAAATAAATAATAATAAAAAAAAAAACCACAACAGAAACAAAAAGAAAAACGAGGGGGAAAAGAAAAGCAAGAAAAATGGAGTAGAAAAGAAGGATTGATGAAATAATGGACTGCAAAACAAAGCTTGTATAAATCAGGAAGCAAACACAAGTATGAAGCTGTAATGGGACTCTCCAAAACAGAGGATGGGCAAAGCAGGTATCATATTTGACAAAAGTAATTTTTCAGAGGGGTCAAACCGGTTTTAATTTAAAAGAAAAACTGAAAATAAAAAGAAATAATGAAGTGCACATCTTGTGTTAATGAACTGACATTCACAAACTTAAGGACTTCACACGGACAGTTGTAGCTTTCTGGTATTTTCAACATCTCTCTCTATATTGGATCTTCAGAAATCAATGTTTGAACAAAAAACAAAATCACACAGTACTTTCATAGAATTTTAGGTTGTCATAAACAATAGAATGCTACGGTGTTAATAACTACCTTGCTCCAGTAATGATCGGGACCCTGATTTTGCAAGGCACAGGGCTCCCAGCTGATTCTAGGAGATTACTCTTTAGAGCCCACTAATAAAATTATTTATCATTATAGAAATCTGCATTGCACAGCTGAGCCACATACTCTGGGCTGTGTCTCTTCAGAACTCATTTCGTAATCTGGACTTTTCTAAGCATATATTACATACCAAGACATGAGCCTCTGTTTGCCGAAGTGTGACATGATCAGTCTTTCAAGTCAGTTGCCTAACCTACTCAAAACTATTCATGTAAGGGGAAAGAAACAGAATTAAGAAGCCCCTATATTTATAGTCGAAATTAGAAGTTATTAATAAGAATAAGATTGTTTCTAAACACATTCTGTATCTTTTATAGGTGGAATAAAGAGAACAACAATTATTACATAAGTAAACTTGCAAACATGAAAGACTATTCTTCTGGGATTTTATTTTATTTTTTTTAATGTATTTGTAAAGCACTTTTCAATTTAAGGTGCTTCATAACAGAGAAACAGTACAATATGGGATGTAAAAATAAAAATAAGTTTTGCTAGATTGACTTATTGAAACATGCCCGCATGCAGGATATATACACATATATGTATATTGAACTCCTGTGTGTATGTGACCCTCCAAACACGCCAAGCTGGTCACCTACCAGATATCCAGTTGCACTGGCACAGGGGAGAGAAGACTGAGTATTGTTGCAAACATAACCACTGCTTTGCACAGTGGCAAGACAAAGGCAAGATGGACCAATACCTTTTTCTTGGCCTGTAGCAGCTCCTGGTAGGCACTGGATCGTATAAAACGAGGATAAGAATCACTTTTCATCAGTTTGTAAATGTGCTCCTGAAAGTGAAAGAACGAGTTTTTACTCCCGTAGAAGAAGACATATGCAAAATGGGAGGTGGTCATATATATTTTAGTTGTGGAATATATACCACCTAGCATAGGTTGAATAGGAAGTCTTATGGGATAGCAGGTTGCAGTTCTGAAGCTAAGGCTGAATTGCTAATTGCTCTTTACTTTTAAAGCAGAAATGCCACTTATTTTTCATGTATAAAGAGCACAACACACCTTTCTTTAATTTATAGTCCCCATTTCCACTATGGAATTATTTTTCTAAGAATTTGCAGCTGAGACCTAGCTTAGGGACCAGCTTCAAACCTCCCTCACATTAGTCAGTTTAACTAAGTGACTAAAGCAGGACCTGTGGATCCTTCTTCATCAGATTTTCTGAATTAGTTTCTGGAGATGCTTTCCTACTTCATAGGCTGGGAAAAAGTCCTAGGTTTCTAATTCAGCACCACAAATAAGTGTTTAAGTTAGGGAGGATATCCCCTGGCTACTCTCGAAAACATCCTTTGACAGATGTTTAGCCTGCTATCTAGCTGACAATATAAAAGGAAAATACATATGAAATTAAAAAACATTTCCAGTCTAATCTAATTTCCAAGATATCTATTCTTCAGAGGCATATGAAAATCTGGAAACCCTTATGCAGAAAACAAATGACACAGGCAGTTTATAGAGGTGGGGTTTTTTTCCAGAATTCTCATTACTGTAAAATGCGAAAAACTAAGAATCTATGATGTAGGACACATTATAGTTCTAGTTCTAGCTATAATGTTAGGAAAGAGATTTGTAGAAAAAGCAATTGGAGTAGGAAATACTCTCAAAAATATTATTTTAAAATCCAATGTATTGTCTTAGCTATTTTTGTTTTAGTTTTTAATCAAAATCTACTTTTTACTATAAGGAACTTGTAGTACAGCAGTTAGAAAACAGCAAAAAAACTGTAAATTCTGTTTCTCAGCTTGGTATTGCATAAAATCAGTGAATAAAAAAAAAACAACAACAAACCACCTTGCTTGAAAATTATGGCAAGGTAACATTAAAGCTGATTTTTAACTTTTGTTGTGCTAGAAGCTCTAGAAATGATTCTAAGCGCCTTTCATATATTTCTTGTACTAAGTAGAGTAATTCTGATGTATATTCAGAACTCAGACTTGTTCATTTGGGGAGTATTTTTTGCACTCAGTTTCTAAGAACGCAGCCAATGCAGCCAACAGAGATCAGAAAAGACTCTGCTCCTCATTATCAGTAGTGATGGGCATTAAAATGTTATTTCTATGCAAAAAACAACCCTGTAAAAGAAGGAATAAATTAGGCTGTATTGGTATTGTTAATGTACACATTGGTCAGGAATTGAGGCTGGATGTTATTTAGCACAATTGGTCTATTTCTACTTATGTATCACTTTCACTTGACATGGAGTTCCGTGGTGCCATCTTTCAAGTCCAGCAATGGTTTTCAAAACATTTTATCCACAAGTAAATGACCTGCTGGCTGTCAGAATGGCTTATAAGTGGTCTCTTTCCCAACTGGCAGGCTGTAAAGAGCCTGTTGCAGAGGCAGAGCCCTAGTCCTGACAAACCCCTGCCACTTCAGGTGGGGCACTCTGTAAAGCTCCTAAAGCTTCAAGTCAGAACACAGCAGGTACAGTCTCCCCCTTTTCCCAGAGAAATAGAGGCTTCCAGGTTCAAGTTATATGCTGAACTGGACCAAATAAGCAGAGTTCTGACAGGAGGAAAAGTCCCTCTTTCATAAAGACTGAATACTTTCATAAGTATTCAGTAATACTTTCATAAAGACTGATACTCTCTATCTTTCATAAATAAAGGAAAAAAAAAAAAAAGAGATCTGGAAATAAAATGATGTTAAAATTTCATACCTACTTAAAAAAATAAAAAAGTAAACTGGATACTGGCAAGGAATTTAATTGTCCTTTCCTGACTCAACTACAAAGACTTCTTTTTTTAAACCTTTAAGCTTGCTAGATTGTTTACTTGTGTAACTTATGACTTTGCTATACTCTGCATTCCTAAATCTCCAGGGGGTCAAGAGATGCAAGCAAAAACTGTGTGTTTAGCTTAATGTAGAGTACTTCAAAACAGTGGGTATGATATAGTGTCTAATGAAAGCTTTATTGTTGCATCACTGGTTGCTATTCTCATAATGGCAAAATGAAAAGGTGGTAGAATTATTCCTCCTCCTATTTAGGGCAAAGGCACTTTCCCAAAAAGTAGAAAGCCCTGATTCAATTCCCTTCCTCTCCTTTGTAGGACTTGCAGCAGCATCTCCAGACTCCCAAGATGATGACCTAATAATCAAGCTGTAGGAAATTCTGAAGGGATATGATCTCAATCTCTCCTTTTGACACCATTTCACTTTGCATTAATAATTAAATTTTCATCTCTGGGCCACTGATGAAAAAGGGAGGATGGTACTGGTTCTACTACTTTTACTGTCAATCCAATTATTTTCTATTGCTTTTCTCAGAACTCTGAAAAGATGAAATATTAAGTTATAAGTCACATGAAGTGTTGCATTTAATAAAGAAGTACTTGTTTTTTCTTGTGAGAAAAGCCAAGATTTGTATTTTACCACTTTTTTTTTTTTTTTTTTTTTTTTTTTTTTTTTTTTTTAAACTTTTACTTCCAATGTCAAAAATCTAAGTATTTTCATACACCTAGCTCTGGTGAAAAGTATCTTTTGATGTGATACTCAAACTAAATCAGAACCCCAAAAGTGAAATAAGATATTTATAGACAGTTCTTTACTGCTGTAATACTGATTATTGAAGAACAGATCTTTAGGATCTTTGCCCAATGTACTGTAGATAGTAGTTTAATAAGGTATATACAACACCTGTGAAATATGATACTTCTGCACAAGCTGTCACAAAATGTTATTTCTCACATGGGTCATATTCTTTTCATGATGGGAACCTATGACTCCTCTTTTATTGGACATGCATTGAGAGAACAGACATTGAGCCTCTATCAAGGGAAGTTTTTCAGAGACCGATGTTGAGAACTAGAAATCAATCTCTGTGTGTGGGAAGCTTTTATCTTAATGTAACTGAATAAGAAAATTAAGAAAACAGGAATATGAAAATGTAATTTTCACTGCACTGTATGCTTTGCTCTATTTGAAGCCCACTTGAAGACTCTATATCATGCACAAGTTTCATGAAGAGTTTTAATAATTCATAGATCACGTGAAAGAAAGAACGTTACCCATTTCATTGCCAAAATAGCATTTTAGAAAACAGAACATTACCATTTAATTCCCCAATATATCTTATTTTATGTATATAGATTTCACTAGTCAATATTCTATTTCAAAATTCCCTAAGCAGGATTGAAAACTGACCTGAGCGTCTTCAAATGTGTATCTTCCAGGGTCCTTTACATTCTGCGTGGTTTTGTCATAACTTTTTGAATCTAAATTGATAGCGCTGGGTGCACCTGGAGCAAGAAATTCTTGCCAGATTTCTTGGACGCGAGCAGGAACTTCACGGATAGGCCTCTTCTTCAGGTCTTCTACTGCTAACCAGAACCTATGGCACAATATAGCATTTTGACTTCCAATTCAGTATAATCATTAATGAAGAGCTCACACTCTTTGCTCGTAAAAAAAATGAAGTAACTGAAGGCTTAATCTAAACCAAGCTAAAATAAGAAACCCCTGTGATTTTATGTTGGGATTAACATTCTGGTATACTGTTTCAGGCAATCAATCCACCTTAAAAAGCAATTTTTACACACCTCTTCATAAGATGGGTGGAAAATCCTTCATTATTTATGTATGGGTAACTTGCTTCTGGGAAGGTTTCCATTTAACTGGAGTTAAACCGTGAATTCATTTCACCTGAACCACAAGTCTTATATCACTTATAAACCTATTGCTTTTTGACATTCCTTCAAAAGCTAGTAAGGACATATGTTCTTGCTATATACGTGAATCTCTCTGAGTGCTGCTAAATGATAAACTGTGTAACTGTAATTTTGGTACTATTACTCCACAAACCATGTACAAACTGGAAAAGCATTTGTTTTGCCCACTAGAATTTAATTTCTTTTTTCAGAATTGCATTTCTATGCATATTTTTACTAAAATGCGGAATGGAAATAACTATTCTCTCTTCAGTGCTGCTGAACAAAGCAGTATCAGGCAGCCACATACAGTGCAGGCCCATTCATTGTATCTTCACTCAGTCTGGAGCAGGAGCACTAAAAATGTCTTGAGCACTTTGTGATCACAGCTAGTTAGCTATAAGCTTTGATATTCACTTTTCAATTGCTATTATGATTGCTTTATTATTATGTCTTCTGTGGGTATTCAGACTCTCTCACTGCACAAAATAATTCTAAATTCAACTAGTATCCCATGCTTAGACATGGTGCAGACCACTTAGTTTCCCCCACCCCAAGATTTCAATTAAATTTTGACTTTGTTAAATATGCAATATATACCATTGCGACTTTTCATTATTGTTTTGGCACAGCTGATCCTATGAAACAGATAAGTAGAATCTTGAAGTGAGTTAACTGTGAAATAAATCGGATTTTACAAGGCTGACAAATAATTTGGGTGCACCTTTGAAATGTGGTTCCAGTCTGCTTACACTGTGAGATCAAATTGAGCTCTCAGCTTTAGTTAAACAGAGATGGGATAGGGGAGAGAAACACTGGAACTGTGCTCAGACCCCCCAAGAAAGCAAAATGACACCATCCTCAATCCAAATTCTAATATAGTTATTGCAACAACTCTTAAGAGAAGATAGTAAAGCACAGCAAAGAGAACCTTACAGTATTTCTCCTACAAGACATTATTCACTTGACATGATTATACCTTCCAGGAAGCAATTAGTCCTTCACAGTCCTGTTTTGAAACTCCTTTGTGGCACAGAGTGAAGGAGACCATGCTCACCGCTCAATCCATTATGGTCAGCTTCACTCTACTGAGATGACTATTTGAGGTATTTCTACACTCTTAAATTTCCATAGTATCTAAGCACAATATTTCTGTCTATTGATCCCTTAAGATTCTCCAAGAGACAGAGAAGTAACATTGTCCCAGTTTTGCAAATACATTAATAATGTAATAAATTACTGTGGTTTCTCCAAGGTCACAAAGGGAGTCTGTGCTGACAGAAGAACTTCAGTTTCAAAAATTCTGGGTAGCATCACTTATCTCTATGAAATGCAATGTGAATTGAACATAGATCTGCGCAGAGCCCGAGGATGTATTCTGAGAATCTGCTGGCAATGCAGTAAGAATAGAGGCCTCATAACTCAAGTTTAAAAACCACACAGCTCACAAACTCTAATTCAGTTCACTCTGCCAAATTTGGACAACCTACTTTGGTTTCCTTAAGCTGCGTTTGATATTTGCATTTAAAAGTGTATATCCTGCAGTGCTAACCCCTTCAAATGCATCTTCTGGGACTGACTGATTACTCATGTGTATCAAAGTCAGGTAAGGAATAGAAAAATGAAAGGGAAGGATGTTCTTTATAAAAACACATTTTCTATCACCCTGCAGACATCCTGAGGATCTCCCTCAAAGCTGTCACATTCTTGTTTGTTTCATTGTATCACTGCCAATATTTCAGGAAGTCACCAGAAACATGCCTTAGGATGCTATTTTCTTTTGCAAGTAAACTGTTTCCATGAGGTTATACTCAATTCTGGGGAAATAGATGGGAGAAAAATGTAACTTCTTCTGAGGAAACATTCAGCTTCCAACACAGAATAGGCAGGTTGTATAGACACATCCATACAGGCTGTCTTCCTTGATTAATTTTATTTTACTAAATATAGAAACCTCTGTAAAAGTGGGAAGAAAATGTTGATTTCTGCAGTATGTTATGTCTAGTATGCTTACTTTGCAGCCAACACACATTTTAATGTTTTAATCTACTTACTGGTCTTTCAAGAAAAAATGCCTGCCCTGCTCCCACAGAGAGTTAAAGTCAAATCTGCAAAGTTAGGAAATGCCAAAAATAAGGCTGCCACCTCTTGCATATTCAAAAATAACTTTTCTGAATATTCCATGGCAACCAATAACACAGACGAAGTTGAAATGGAGTCTGCAAGACCTCAGTACAGGGCCTCAAATCAAGAGAGCTCCCTGTCCCCTTTTACAGCTCTCTGCCTCATGAGCTGTGACCAGAGCAAGGGAAGACTCCTGTAGCAAAGAGCATGCAGTGTGAAACAGTAAATGTGTGCAAGGGCAGGAGAGGGGAGAGGGGGAACCCAACAGCATTTGCTGGGCAATGATATACACAGACTAAGAGTTACTTCATGGAAGAAAGTAGAGCTCAATCTCTTTGGCCTTGGATGAAACTCATCTCCTGTTAGTGGAGGTTTGATTTTGCCATGGAGATCCTTGCTAGAAGATGCTCAGTACTGTCTGAACAGAGACCTGAGTAGCTGGGTATAAACCTTGCTGCTGTCTTTGTTCCCAGCTGGGTCACACACCAGACGTATAGCTGAGTGAGAGTGTATAAGCTTATAATAGTCATACATCCAGCCACATGACAGGGTAAGACACATGTTGCAAGACATCTGGGGATTATGTCCTCCAGCTGGATTACTTTCAAAGTGAGGATGGCCTTGCCAGATAAATAGCACAGCTGCAACACAGCTTCCGTCCCATTAACTGACCTAAATGTCAGATGCAGCCATCAGCAGATCCCAGATCAAGTTAATCAGTTAAATTTAGCACATAGGAACACAGAGTGAGAGAAAGGCTGCAGCGATTCTCCGCAAAATGTGTGAGGTTTAGGCAGAGTGTGGAGACGCTGAAGGAGGAATTACGTGGGCTTTGCACCCAGTGATGTGACACAACAGGTCGGAGGACAGACCTTTCAGCATTTTCAGCAAAAGTAAACAAAAACCTTAACAAACTCCGTGGAGAAAATCAGCTAACGTTTGTTTTTTTCTAGGAACAGGAAAGACTACTGTCTGATTCCTAGAGTTCACCTTCTTGCCATGTACAACTTCAAGCTTCAGGAGAGAGTAGTGCTGAAGGTCTTCAAGAAAATGACTGAGAATCATTAAATCTTGCAACTATTTTTTTCTGCAGAAATGGCAATTCAAAACTCAATCAGCTTAAGTGTGAATGAGAAATAAAGCACAGGCAATTACGGCCTTTATGATTAAATTTTGGTCAAGTTATTAGCACCCAGAACCAGGCCTCATAATGAACTGTGTGAGGGATAAATGTTACCAGTGCCCATAGTGTGTGGGAAAGTGTCATTACCAGTTCAGACTTGCAGGACAGACAACAAGGACAGCTAATCAATCTTCATATTTTATAACATGCAGAACTCCTCCACCATCAGTGAAGACTGAAATGTCTTGCATTTAAAGTCATCAGGAGTGGTGATCAGTAATAAAGAGCAAAAAAGTGAAACAGGCTGGATTAAAAAGAAAACTTAATCTCTTGCACCATTCTCCTCCTTCTCTAGTAAAAACACTGTTATGGTGTTATTAAAAGAAAAACCAGAACCACTGAGGTTAAAGGTAAAATTACGCTCTATGACCAAAACAGTTTGTAGGCAACACTGTAAATTTTTAGTAGTGTATATGTGGGCTTTCATTTATTTTTTCTACAAGACATAATTTGAAGCCTCTATCTCCACTACATAACATTTCTATAACAATTTAAATGGATAAATCCAAAATAAACACCTTATAAAAATCTCGGTTTACAGGGCGATGGTCAGAGAAAATTTATTGAGAGAAAACATCTAAATCTAGCTAACTCAGACCCTCTTTTCTATTCTCTTTCTGGGCAACGAGAACTCAAAGCCCCTTTTCCCTATTTACTCACACATTATGGAAGCTAATAAATGAGGATCAAAGGAAGGGCCAAGGAGTCCAGCAGCTTTTCCTTCTGCGCATCATGGCAGATGTCCTGTCACCACTCTCCCTTCACTAACCTAGGAGGCTTTTGCAGTCTTAGCACTGCCTTGGAGATCACACCTACTGCAATACTGCACCATGAGTTGGACAGGTTTTCAGACTGTCAGGAGGCCTGAAACCATTTAGATATTTACAGGCTGTAATTCCTACAAAACAACCACTTGGGAGCAAACATACAGTCAGCATACGAATATTAACATTCCAAAGAATTCTGCAGCACTACAGACAAAGAAAGTAATGTGGAAAGGAATGGCAAGTTTCTACAGAGATGAAAGAAATTAGGTCTCCAGGTGCCACACTGCAGTAAGATTCATGTTGCTATCTCACACCCTCTTTGAAAAGTCCTTTTTCAGTCCCTGGACATTCTTGTGACCAAGCTCAGTAGTACTGGGTTGTGCTCAAACTTAAGTCTTGTGAATTTTAAACAATGGTCACCATTTTTGTAATAGGCAGTGGGAATTTGATAAATCTATTATCCAAATCATATGTTACTTTAGCTATTTGTTCTGTGTAGTGAGCAGCATGCAAAGCAATCCTTCCAAAAAATCTGCATGGTAACAAGAGATTACAAATCATAGCCTCTGTTAGGTGAATGCAGAATCCAGCCTGGGTGTTAGCAAACTGCAGGCACACTGTAATGAAGCTACTGCACTGACAGAACTGCGTAGACAGTTTTATTCCTTTGCTATGCTTTACAACAGACCTTTAGAGAGTGAAATACTTTTAATCCCAATTTACAGGCAAAGAAAAAAAGCACAGAAATACAGAGTAAGAAGGTGAAACCTGACTGCATTCCTAATCATTGCACAGCTCTTCGTTTTAACTCACAGCTCAAGTTTCTTCATCCCTGTTCTGTTTCTTAAAACAGGATCTATATCCACTAAGAATGAGATTCTCAACCAGCTTAGACACTTTCAGTCCAAGTTAATGAAACAGAAATGGTGGACTTTTAGCTGCATAACATAATCATACTTGAATAGAAACGGTGTATTTGGTAGACTCATCATTTCACATTTTTGGTATTTCTTTCACCAAAGACTGGTAGAAGACTTCTAATCAACTAATACTGAATCTCTGTAGTGTCTGCAGTCCCCTGCTGTGCTTGGTAGCCTGAAACCAAGGTCCTGGCTGTCTGTCCCACTGTATGTTTGATGGTGCTTGCTGTAAATTTTATCATGATTAGATCTGTAAAAGGACAAGAGCCAGGTACTGACTTGAATTCAGTTTGTTGCAGTGGGAAGATGTGGATGGAAATAAAGATTTTCTCAGGGTGGCTGTCAAATCCCCCCAAAACCCTCCAAAAACCCCAAATTGCCACAATGGGGTTAATAAGTGAGCAAAGAAATTGGTGGTCTTTTAAATTTAAGGTTTATTCAGCAGTAATGCTTGAAACCATCAAGCTTTTAATCTCTTTTACTGAGATCTATTACATTTTGACTTCCATACATAATAAGCCTTACAAATTCGTGCTTTTTAACCTGACTTTACTGTGTGAGCCTAACAGTGGATTGATTTCCCTACAGTTTGAGAATTCATAAACATAATTATGAGCTTGTAACACAGTTTTTCTTCAGTTAATCCCCCCAGGAAGCATCTCAGTGCAAGTTTGATACCCTGCCTGATCCTTCACAGGGACAGCCTTTAAGCTAATATTTACCATTGCTCGGATATTTTTTAATGCCAATACAGGAATCTAGAGAGAGAGAGAGACAGAAGAGTAGATGGCATATCAAGAAATCATCTCTGAATAAATTTCTCTAGGGAATTTTTCTGGATCAGTCACTTGCAGTTTGCCCGTGGTTAGTGTTGTAAATAGGATTAGAAGAAAGAGTGAGGGATTATGTGGGTAACAGTCTAGTTGGCAGAGAGACAAACTGATCACAGAAAACTATAGAAACTGCAGCACACACTGGGCTGCATAGGCTCACGTTTGAACAGCTGCTCTGCATAAGGAATTACCAGGATGCTCCTTAAAAAAAATATTGCCTTTCCTTTTCTTGGCATTATTCTGAATTTTAAAATTTCATTTTACCACTTGGATCTTTTAATTAAAAAAAAATCTGTACCTCTCACTAATGAAGTTATCCACATACACATACAAGTCAGGCCATATTTCCATGGAGATAATGGCAAACAAATCAGTTGGAAAATATCACAAGGTCTAGTGTATCTAATATACATCTGTGATGCAAAATTCAGTGTTTGAATATGAACATGGTCTGCAACTTAGAGAAGTCCATCTCCAATTATTCTGCTGACAAACTTGAATTAACAAGGACGTCTATGCAATTACTCAGCATTTATGAATCGACAACACAAAAAGCTACATGCCTCTTGTAAGATACTACATAAATGTAACTCTAGTATGAATGGTTATGCTGCACCACTACAGAATTAGAACTGTCATAGAAAAAAAAAAAAAAGTAGTTTAGGATTTTTCTATGTTCTAGAATATGTGGAAATAGGATCTTATACTTCTTACACTATTGGTAAATGGGAAGTGATACACATTACATCTGACAAAAAGGTGGAATAAAGAGAAAATTATGTTGCACATGATTTTGTACTATGTACAGTTTGACTCATCTATAGAAAGGCTGTTATTAATCCCTCTGAAATAATTCTTACCAAAATATGACTTCTTTAGAACAGTAACAACAAAACATGCCATTAGACAATGGAGGGACTATCATTTTTTAAAATCAAATAATTGTTCTCACTCACTTAAAAGTAATTCTGTATATATATATATTTTAAAAATTATTTGAGCTTCATACACTAGCAGCACCTTTCCATTTTGTGATTAGTGAGGAATCTGAGAGCTAGCTGTCACACCACTTTTGTGTCAGATCCACGAGTTCAAGAATCTTGGTGGAGATTTTAAAAAGACTAATGATCCCCAGAAGCTGACCAATAGTGAAAGTCTGTGAATTTTACTTTTAAATCCCTTTTTTATTTTTTAACCAATTATCTTGTTTCATTTTAATGTTCTCATAATATTTGACTTAAGAAAAGATACTGAACAGACTTTGAATTGGACAATGCTTAAACCTGTTCAATAAAATGAGCTGAGAGAAAAGCTCTTACAGTTTGACCAAAAGCCAGACATGAATGGGAAAATATGCTTCATGTGAGTCTCTGCTAACTATATCAATCTTTCCCTCAGCCTGAATATGGCAGTAGGCAGCAATCTGCAAGAATGGATTCTAAAAGATAAGACACAGGAAAAATTTTGAAAGGGCCAAAAAATAAAAGGTATCAGTCAACTCCCTTCCCCACAATGTATCATATAAGTTATTAAAAAATAAAGTCCCTCTCATTTACCTTAAATTTTCTGAACTGAATTCTGACTCCAGGAACTTGAGAAACTGCTCTCTTCCCACAGGGTCTTTCAAAGCTTCATCCATGCCAAACCCCCATCGTTTCACCCGCTGCTGTCCTGGCTCTTTGCTACAGAAGAAAAACGAACAGAACCCATGATCAGTATTCTAATACTCTGTGTTCATAATTTAGACTAAGTCCTAAAGTTCAACCACAGATTTATCACCCTCCAGATTGCTCGTATCTGTGCAATGTTCAGAGATGAGCAACCAGGCTGTTAGTACTCACACAAGTTGAAGGTAATATGCATATATTTACACAGAAGAATAAGGACTTCCAACTAGGAAGTGTGATAGGATTTTAAAAAGTGTCTTTTTTCCCCACACTAGAACCCTGGAAACTGGTTATTATAACTTTTTATACAGATTTATTAATCCATAGCTCTTCTCAGCTTATGAAAGACCAAGAAATACTTCATTGACTTTCTGCCTCAGTATTTTCCTGCAGTACCCCTGTCTGAAATCTTCACATTTCAAGAAAAGCCTGTTACACACTCTAGCCCAAAAGAAGAAATAAAACTATATACCTTGCCTCCAGTTCCCAGAAGGTGGTGTCATCTGATATCCAAGGGTTTGAGGGATCAGGGGGCACAAGAAAAGGATCATATTCCAAATACTGCTCTGTATAAGCTAATAGACTAGGAAAACAAAAGTATCAAACATTATCATGTCAGCAGGTGAGGAAACCTGATCATGTTACCCCAGTTACCTTGCATCAGCTGAACCATGGTAACTGGGTTTGCACACACTCACTAGTCAGCTACAAGCTCAGGCTAAAATAGGTTTGCTCAAGCCTTTTAAAAGCGGATCCCTGAAGAAGGAGGAGTGGCTCAAATCATATCAAGAGCAGACATAAAATAAACTACAGACTTGCCTAATACTTCCAGATAGCCCCTTTTAGGGGTCCTTTAGACACTAGTAAATTAAGTCAAGCAACCTCTTCCATGCACATTCACTTTCGTAAAGAAACATACTTTATACCCCTACGGTTTTAATTATCAGTTTTCAAAATCTGTTCTAAAACACTGCATGCTATTCAGGTCATATTTATTTGCCCTGCAGCGGCTAGGACTCCTTTTTTCCTCTTTTAAATACAGTTAATATTTTTATTATTTCCTAACCAAATGGCACTACTCCCAGGTTTATTGCTTTCCAAACAACCCCATTTTTTTTCCAAATTTCTTTGATATTCAAGAATTGGTCTGACTCAGTTGAACACACTAAAAACTTTGCTTGTATTCTGGTATTTACATCTCCCACACCCTTAATTCCTGATTTCCTTTCCTTTTGCCTCATAATTATTGTAAAATTATTGACAAGTGAGGACAAATATTCTTTCTTTTCATTCCTATTTATATTTAGTCTGTACTCCATTTTTATTGTTTACCAAATCCAAATTCTTAACCTGTTCTCTTTATATATTTATTTGGATGTGTATATATACATACACATATATAAGGAGACACACATGTACAAATGCATGAGAAGATGAAGAACTGTTTGTATTTGGCTTAATTTCCTTTACTAAGTCTCATGCAGCTCCATTTTCTGTAATAACATCTCTGTATTTGATGTGTAGTATAGACCATTCCTTTTCTCTACATCTTCCTACCTAAGCTATAGTTAGTCTTTCCAAAGGGCTTTTTGTTTTAATTGCTTTCTAGATCCTTCCTGACAAATTCTGGTCTTGTTTGGAGAATTCCTACTGTGTTAGATCTTGCGATCCAAAGTAAGCTCAGACTCACTTTGTTCAAGCACTGAGCTCCTCATCCAGCTCTGCCGAGTAGTTCCCTTGCTTTATCAGTGATTGCCCCTTTGAAATATCAAAAGAGTAACCCCAGACCTATTTCCATTTAGCCTCCCTAACAATGCAAGGTGTAACTTGTGGCCATTTGGTCAGAGGCTCTGTCAGTGACTCTTGGTATCATGGATTATCTAGGCCATCTTTTATCAATAAAAGAACTTCATACCTCCCACTTAAAATAAACTCCCATCAGTTATTTCCATGACACCTGAGCTCCCTTGTCTCTCTTTCTTTGAAGCCATTTTATACTGAAATTTTTCCAGTAGTATTCAGTCTAATTGAAAAACCAGAAGATGTGACAATATACTTACCTCTCTGCAACTTTTGACATTTTTAATCTATGTCTGTCTAATTGCATTTGCCAGTGCTTAATCTGCAAGAGAGGAAGGCAAAGAGTTTTATGAGTAATTTATTGCTTGACTCTATTTCCTTAACTTTTTTATTAGGTCTGTAATTTAACCTTAATTTATCCTAGGGCACAGAAGAGAAATATATCTGAGTTAAGGCAACATTTCACCAGTGTAGCTCTAAAATAAATGGAATTTTCCATCAAAGAGAAAAGACCAGAGTCAAAAAAAGGACCCAATGGAACATTCCTTAAAAGTTCATCAGTAGAAATCTACTTAGTCTTTCGTTAGATTTTTGAAGAGAACTACTAATTCTTCAGACATTTACCTTCTTCCAAGCGTAACACCTCAGGAAAGATTAATGAAGCATTAACAGTAGATAAATGTGTGAACCCATACATGCATACACAGACATGTAAGTATACCCTCAAATCTTGAATCAGTGTTGAAAGGAACAGCAAGCTGCCCACTGCTAAAAGGGCTTAACAGAGTTAACCATGCAAAGAACCCACTAACTGGCATGCTGCTAATTTCTTTTAATTGTTTAATGCAAGATACAAAAAAATGCCAGGTTTTGCCTCGTTAGTTTTAATAGCATTTATATAGCTAAATCCATATATCCTGAAACAAGGAAAAGAATGTTTGCTAGATCTGTTCTGAACAACTTCTCAGTTATGATAATTTTTGGTTTAATACCTACTTTCCTGAAAAGTTCATTTAAAAGTACATGTTTGTAGTTATTTTTCAAACCTCTTGGTGTAGTTCATCTTCTGTGGGTGGTTTAGTCTCTGGTACTGGTGTGTGGGTAGGGCTGTGACTTCGAATGTCGTTTTGTAAGCCATAGACAGACTACACAAAAAATACAGAACAATGATAGTTGCTTTCAATCCATGCTTTCTACATGTACCCATAGTAACTGTGATGTTTTGGTACAGTATGCTCAAGAAGTTAGTCAAGATCACCTTTTACTATAGACTGAAAATAAGCCATGCACTCAGATAAAATTGTGCTTCTATACCATGGTGTAAAATGAAGACTCTCAACACCCCATCATTTCATAATGCCATAAAACACAGCATCTACTTTTACTATGTCTCTATATTAACAGCAACGTAAATATGAGGGATATGACACAGAAAGGCAGCTATTACAGTAAGTGGAGATGACCAGTAGGAAAAGGAGAAACAGTATCCTAAAAGGTAGACCATCACAATGGATTATTTGGATTACTCCCAAATTTGCAATTACTACTTGGCAAATTACGCTAATCCGGACCTTTCACTACTATAAATAAACTAAGCTAAAACTGTCTCTAAATCCACTTTCCTTTTTAAAACATATTTTTCCATGCATTGACATGACAATATACCTCAAAGGAAGTATTTTAAAGTTGGAGTCAATCTACATTAGTATGATAAAAAGGTTTTAAAATAAAGTGTTGTTTCAATTCATCTATACATCCCTAGAGAATTTAGTCTGTTCATATCTGGATCCTAATTTAGATTAAGCTGATTTCCTCCACAACTTGTGGTCATCTATTTGGGGCATAATTGTAAACAAGAAACACCCTTTTCATTAAGACCAGAACAAGAACTGCTGTTACAGTTTACACTGCATTTTTAATTAGTTTTTCCTTAATTACTGACAGAAATATTTTAACATGCCTTATTCAATCTACTAAACAACATGAATAAAGCATGTAAAAATAAATTTTATTTTCATATTCTCTGGGTATTTCTCTAACGCCTTTTTTATGTATAACATTTACTCAGTATTAGCAAATTTGTTAACACTAATTAATTTAAGAGCTTATTAAATAATAACATGTTCATGGATTTGTTCTTTGCAGCTGTAAGAAAAAAAATGTTTTAAGAAACTATGGAACTTCATGCTATAAATTACCTCCACCTCCAGATTTTGCCATAATATCAGTACTTACCTTTCTTGTTTTATGTGGATTTCTCATTCTTGAAGATTTTTTAATATCCACTTCAGTAGTGTTTACACATCCAGGCTATTAAAAGAAAAAGAAAGAAAAGCACGAGGATAAAATCTGCAAAGGAATTCCGTACTATTTTCATTGAGATACTCCTCTTCAGTTTGTAAGGTAGAAAGCCTAAACAACCAGAACCTTACAATAGGTTGATGTCCTTCTGCAATAGTCCCTAAAACCTAAAGAACATATAGTCTAAGGAAGCACCCCAAGTACCATTCTGTCTGGCTTATTGTAAGGCAGAATCTTTTGCTATTCAGCCTTGTTTATTGGACCCTATGATGGTTTTTAGGACTAGTTATACTGTATATCTTTATGCTGAAATTGCTGAAAGCAATGTATAGAGGAGCAGAACATATCCAAATACATATTATAAGATTCACTTGCAGCACAGAGGTACTAATTCAAATTAAATTGCTATTGGCAGCATTTGGGAATTTTGGAGTGAGATACTGAAGACCACATACTTAGTGCTCATAAATAGTGAATATTAAATAAATTTACAAGATAACAGAAAGAAATCACAGGTTTCTGCTTTAGTTTTGCCAAGAAAGGAATTGCTAGAATGTGCATTCTAGCTATTCCTCTAAGAAGCATGGTTGAACTAATGAGACAAAATAGACTTGCGCAATACCTACCTCACCTGTGAACACCAGGCTCCCTTCAGGAGCATCTGGGTTTGGGCCACTTTTAAATATTATTTAAAAAAAAAAAAGAAAAAAAAAAGATGAAAAAATGTGGTGAAACAGGAAGGGAAGGGAAAGGGAAAGGGAAAGGGAAAGGGAAAGGGGAAGGGGAAGGGGAAGGGGAAGGGGAAGGGGAACTGT